TATATATATATATATATATATATTTATATTTATACTAATAACCAAATATAATCTGTAAAACCATGTGCGTATCATTTTCATTAAAGTAGCGTTGAGGTAACCGAATTACATCACAATATATTTTCTGAACAAACACAAACAAAAGAAGTGTGCATGTTTATGAAAAAATTATATTTTTATAAAAAAAAAACGTTCATGTTCGGCGCATTCGCCTCTTGAAATGAAGCAAAATGACCGATACGTTCCCGCCATGTCAAATTCAAATTACCGTAAATCTGTTGGTCCGCTCTTTTTAGAACCGTTAAACTGGTGCATAAGTTAGAGCGAGACAAAATATATACTTGTCTCACTCTAACTTAGTGCACCAGTTTAGCAGTTCAGCTAAAAAGAACGGACCATTTCCTACCTTTGAACGTACAATTTCATGGTAGCGTCGAGCATCGGAGCCAATCAGCAGACAAGAGTCAAACGTCGATCCAATCAGCAGACGATCCATTTGGCCAATCAGTGCAAAGTTAACTAAACTCAAGTCTAATGAAGTTTAGTGAACTTTGCATTGATTGGTCAAATTCAATCCAATCTCAATTCCCAATCCGTAGTCTGATATGGGCATTAGTCTCCTGAAACCAATACTGAGAGAGCGAGGGAGGGGGATGGAGAGGTGGTGGTGGTAAGAATTCGTGCCGGGAATATCGGAGAGCGTCCGAGGCGGATCAAAACAAGCGATGCTCGAGCTGAGCGAGGTCTCACTTTCTTCCGTTGGTCGTCGAAGATTCGCCGAAGAGAAACTCGAGGAGGAAACACGTGAGTCTTCGTCGTCGCTGTCGCTGGCGTTCCCCAGTCATCCTCTTCGTGAGGCTACACGCAATAATCGTCGTAACGCGACCCACCGCGGCGTCTCCTCCTCCACCTTCTCCCCATTCTCGTTCCTCGGCCGGGCGGGATTTCAATCCGAGGAGACAATGTAGACTGCCCGCCGCTGCACCACCCTCGTCGTCCCTCGATCGCGTCGTCGTCGTCGTCGGGGATGCCGGCACGGCCGCCTGCGGCTGTCATCATCGTCGACGGCTACGCGTAGCCCAGCCACTGAGGCGCGAGCGTGAACACACCCCGTGGGAGATGTCTTACAGCGATGGCGCGCGCCCGGCACGAAAATTTGGCACGAAATCGCCGAAGAAGCTGTGCGTGACCAAGAGTGAGAATAGCGACAAAACCACGACGACGGTAAACTGCGGCGGCCACCATCATCACAATCACTTTCATCACAACCATCATCGGTTCCTGGACAGTTCGCAGCCGTCGGTGCACAAGCGGAATCTCTACATCGTCTCCTTCCCGTTGATACTGCTCTTCAACATACTGAGGACTCTGCTCTACCAGCTGTTCGTGGTCTTCAGGTATCTGTACACCTCGACGTCTCAACTGATCCAGCGTAGACAGGCGTCCAAGCAGGCCTGCCAGCTGGAGATCGTTGTCGGTCAGAAGCCGACGGATGCTCTGTCCGGTCGTCTGATCAACGGCAGCCAGGCAGAGACAGAAGCCATGTCGCAAGGACCCAGACGTCCCATCGGCCCAGGCCCGGCGGATCCTCTGCTAGCCAAGCAGAAGCATCATCATCGCCGAGCGTTTGAGTTTATCAGCAAGGCGCTGAAGATTGATGAAGATAATGAAGGTATATTGTTTATATATATGTACAAGGTGTCCCCAAAAAAATGTATACATATGTAATTATTGAGATATGAGAAATTTCATTTTTGTCATTTCATTGTTAAATTGTGCTAATTAAATAGGACTATAGAGGTAATTAAATATTGTAGATACAAAATGATTATGTATTTTAAGTATAATTTTCTTGAATGTTTTTGTATGTCAAATTGTTAAAATAATTATTAAAAAATTAGCCCTTAAACTATTAGTGACTAATTATTTGTGGCACTATTATGTTTTTCTCTTTTTTCTCAAATCGGTTTTTTTTTTGTATCTCTTACAACAGGGCAGAAAGAGATGGCGATAGAATTATACAAGAAGGGAATCGGAGAACTAGAGAAGGGTATAGCCATAGAATGTAACGGCGGACACGGTGAAGTATGGGAGCACGCTCAGAGACTTCACGACAAGATGCGTACAAATTTAATAATGGCGAAAGAAAGGCTCGAGTATCTCGGTGAGTATAATCGGCTGTCGCATATTTTGCTCCGCACATAGAATTTCTTGAGCTATTCCAAGTTTGTTTACCTGTGGTGTGCAAGTTCTCCTGATTTGCGAATATGATATTCCGTCTAAAAAATCGATATAAGTAGCTCTATCGATCTTTCATCTAGATAAATCAAATTCAAACCATCTCATCTAAGATGAATTTTTCAGATTTTCATTTCATCTTTATCTAAATGAATCTGAAATCATTTAAGACAAACACTGATGATATTAGATGTAAATGACAAATTTATAAATATGGAATACCTTCAGCAGTTTCTACATTCTATATATACGCATATTTTTAGGACGTAATATTATCCACGGGTAAATATTTGGGAAATGGCGAGGGAAAGAAGGATATCGATGTATCTGGCATGCTCGTGTACAATTTATTTTTATTTTTCCAAATATTCGCGCGTGTGGGTGCGAGCGTGTGTACGCGTTTTTCCGTATGTGTGTACGCATGCGCCGCGTGATAATTTCTTAGATGGTTCTTACCTTGAGCACAAGTCAATTTCAGTTCTGCATTCAGTTATTCTTTCCTCTGTTTCACGGGAATTCAGAGATGTACGGAACAACACAAGTTATTATATATATATATATATATACATACATATATATATAAAATACGAGTTAGCAGCCCAATCTCATACGCAGCATATTCCAATATAGGCGCGCATTTGCGATTTTTGATAAGATTCTCTTAGCGATATTAGTACGTAAATTCTCTTGTACGTTAATACGAAACGAGAGAGAGAGAGAGATATATATATATTAGCCTGATTTTCTCTTTTAGCTGACTTAGCCTATCGCAGCATGGCAGAGAATGTTTTTTTCCTTTTTGTAGTGAGTGTGTGTGAGCTGAGAAAGCTGGGTATCAACAATGAATATTGCGCGCCTGGAAATAAAACGGACGGTGAACATCCAGGAAAACATCTGAGGGCCCGCCGCAATATACACACTTTTCAAACCTCAACACGCACCAATACGCCCAACATTAGTCACAATAACAAAAACACGAACAATACACATACAGTTAACACCGGGCAGACTATATGTACGCAAATTCCCAAGTTAAGGCCACGTTCTCCAAAAAACTGTTGCGCTCACACCACCGAAGGTATTGTTCGTCTGAGATTCTGGGCTTAAATGCAAAAGAGTCGAACGCAAGTAAAAAAACAATGCAATGCTCCTACCTAGTCGTTACCTGTTTATTCGGAGGAGATACTTTGTTTTGTCTTAGCCCTATGCACATCACTCCGTTCTTTTTCATGTAGAAGATAAGAGACGTGAGTTCTGCGATAGATATAGTGAGAGCTTTTGGCTTTCTTTTGTTTTCTTTTTTGCTTTAAGCACTAAATTGTAACGTAACTGTTGGCAGCGCAGGAAACGAATTTTCAGTCAGATATTACGTTACATTTTATTGCTCAGAGCAAAAGGCTGAAAGTTCACTACACCTATTGTGGATCCAGCTTAATGTAGACTCGCCAGCAATGCGTATTACATTTCATTCTGGCCGTATTTCTTTCGTGTTGCCGTGTAGACCCTTAGAAACTAATCGTAGAAACTGCCGTTCTATTTATACATGATTGAACTTTATGTTGTAAACGCTTTACCAAATAGAATATCTCGAAACGTCATGCCATTTTTGTAGAATAACTAGTAAAATTGAATGAACGTGTACATGCAAACACACTCGCAACCGTATTCAATATTATTACACAATTTTATTATAGTGTAAACAGTAGGAAATAATTTTGTCTTAATGCATAAATTCGTATGCGAAGAAAAATTAGTTCCCTTTTTCTTTTACGTGAATAGAATAGAGAATATTCTAGAGAGACCTCTTTTTTTTCTGCCATGATAGGAAGAACCACATTTACAATAAGTTCTTACTATTTAAGGGGGATTCTTGTCTAGACGACGAGTTTCTAGGCGGACTTTGATATTTTTTGTTTAAGCTATTGGACTTTTACGAATGTGAGGTTTGAAGTATATATGTTTAATTATATTTAAATAACATTTTGCGAATTTTTATGTAGATCTTTATGTTTCATGATTTATATGTTACAAGCCATTTCGTACATTCTTTGTTCCGTAACGGTAAACATGATTGCAGCTTTTTAGTTCTATTTCTGAAATATAACGAGAAAAATTTCGATCTGTATGAATACAACTACCGGCCAAATCAAAATAAGCAAAAAGGATTAAAATTTAACAAAATAGTGACACGTGAAAACCAAAAGTCCGATTTTTGTCATCGTCAAAACTTATATTTACAAATCAATTAGTTTCAACAGAAATGTTCAAATTCTTCTCAAAATTCGTCGTCTGGACAGCATTCCCTCTTTAATAGTGACATTGTATGATACACAGACAATAGTATTTAAAATATTTTGGCTGTGTGAACATCTCTTTTTTTTTACTTTTGTCTTCTTTGCGATAGACCCTCTTGTCCATATTAGAATGATACAAAAGATTTCATTGCTGCCATTCTGTCACTTAAATTTTGTCACTTTTCCTTAACAAGTCACTGAAAAACTCGCCATTGTTCAAAATAAAATAAACAATGTAAATACTCGGATAATTAAAGAGCTATTCAAAATCAGTTGTTTTTCAAGGCTGATTTTGAGTAGTCATTGGCCATTTTTTAACTCCCTCTTTTGTAAAATACAAGCGTTCTTTATACATATATATATATATATATATATATATATATTTATTTATTTATTTATTTATTTATTTATTTATTTATCGTTCGTTTGCTGCCGTAAATTGTGAAAGTGTGTGTGTGTGTTTTATTTATTTATTTATTTATTTGAATAATTTTCGGATAATTTCGGATAATTTTGTTATTAAATCGGTCTGTTTTTTTTACCTTTTTTTTTTTAACTCGAATTTGGATTCGAAGTCTTGAAATGTGACGCTAGAAATAACTTACGAGTGATCATAGAAAAATTAACATCCACATGAAGAAAGAACGTTAGTTCATGTAACTGAACGGGGATTAGATAACTCATAACTTGGAAAACACTGTAAGAGATCACTCTTTGTCATCTATTCTGCCAAGAGAAGCAATCATTGTTTCACTTTTTTCGCACCGGTGAGACCGGATGGCAGCTCTGAGACTTGCATCTAACAGTATCTAACCAGTAGTGACTTGTACAACAGCCGGCATCGAATTGCGCGTTACTACAGCTCGAAGCTTTATTGAAACGTTGCGAACTGTTATATTCCAGTGTCCGGCAGAAAGCTGTCAGTGCCGGGTAAACGGACGACCGGGGCACCGTTGAGCAAGAGCCAGACACTGCCTAGAAATATGGGCAGGTCAGCGCCTATCCAGCCCTGCCACAGGACCGTGCCGATCAAACCGTCCTCCACGCCGCCCTCCGTGAAGAGGCAGCTGTCTGTGCCGGGGAACGGCTCGCCCATAAGACGCCCGGGGACACCCACTGCTTCGAGCAGTAACAGGAGCACCCCGACCCGAAAGGTGCCCATCCTCAAGGGAGTAGACCCGAAGCTTGCTCAGGTGATCCTCGACGAGATTCTGGAAGGTGGAGCGCCGGTGCAGTGGGAAGATATCGCTGGCCAAGAGGTATGCACGATTTCAATATTCGCCTCTTTGGGAAAACTTCAGAGAATATTTTTACACCTTTCGAATTAAATTTAGAAACCTAAGAAGATACGAAAAGTTTGTAGACACAGTTTTTCGACTTGCTTTTTTACATAAATATAATCTGCGTATACAAGAAATGCGAAAATAGTAACGTGATCGTGTCAGTGTCTATGTAACATTATCGATGTTCATCAAGTCCTTCATCGACTTCAGCATCCACGTAAATCATCACAGTAGGACCTCTCTCTGAAAGCTCTTCGAAATCCATTCACAGGGAGGTCGCTTAGCTCCAAAGGCAGGGCCGTATCCGGCGTTCTCGGATTTTTGTAGTTATCTCTAATCTTTATCAATTATTTCAATACATAGTTTAATGACTTGCAGACTGCGAAGCAAGCCTTGCAGGAGATGGTGATCCTGCCGTCGCTGCGGCCGGAATTGTTCACCGGTCTGCGAGCACCGGCGAGGGGATTGTTGCTGTTCGGGCCGCCGGGAAACGGGAAGACGTTGTTGGCGCGCGCCGTTGCGACGCAATGTAACGCGACGTTCTTCTCGATCTCCGCCGCCAGTCTCACGTCCAAGTACGTCGGGGAGGGTGAGAAATTGGTGAGGGCACTGTTCGCGATCGCGCGGGAGCTGCAGCCGTCCGTTATCTTCATCGACGAGGTCGATTCGCTGCTGAGCGAGCGGAAGGATAACGAGCACGAGGCTTCAAGGTATATTTTAAGAAATATAAGTGTAGTGTTAAAGGGTGTCAAGAAGAGGACCGATTTTCGCCCAAAAAAGTGTAGGATGTGGAAGGACCAGTGTTTTCGTAGATTTTCATCTGGGTGTGAAAGCTGTTTAAATGTTCGTGGTGGTTGAGAAACATTTTGAAAATTGAATAAGAACATGGTGTATTTATAGACATTCGAATGATGTGCGGAAGTACCGCCAAAAATACATCTTTATGGTTTTTTTTTTCTGAAAATCTGAAAAAGAACTTTGTTTCGGTTAATTTGACTCGTTAATGCTGAACTAGAGTTGAACGAAGGCGTATCAAAAAAGCTATCGCGTCTCAGAAACCTGGTGTACCAAACTAAATGGCAAAAAATTAGTGCGGCATCGAGGGGTTGAGGAGACGTATTAATCAACATTTATTTCAGACGATTAAAAACCGAGTTCTTGGTCGAGTTCGACGGCTTGCCGTGCAATCCTGAGGAAAGGGTGCTCGTCATGGCTGCTACAAACAGGCCGCAGGAGCTGGACGAGGCTGCGTTGAGACGATTCACGAAGCGCGTGTACGTCACTCTGCCGGACCTGCAGACGAGGATCGTGTTGCTCCAAAGGCTCTTGGCCAAGCACAACGATCCGTTGATGGCCGAAGAATTAAACGAGATGGCGGTCGTGACAGAGGGATATTCCGGAAGTGATTTGACCGCATTGGCTAAGGATGCAGCGCTTGGACCTATCAGAGGTAACATGAATTATTCTGATCTTTTTTCGTATATATTTTTGGGTTTGCCCAGTATTGTGAAAACTTGGGACATGTGTGTGTATGTGCGTGCGCAGGGTTTCCCATTAAGAGGTTTCATTTTAAATTGTTAGGTTTTTTTTTTAAGTGGTATTTTTATTCCGATGCAAAATCCGGTGCAAAATGTAAAATGAAACTTTTTAATGAAAAATCTTATTTATATATATATATATATATATATATTTAAAGATATATCATCGTGTTATTTCCTCAGAACTAAATCCAGATCAGGTGAAAGAATTGGACTTGAATTCCGTTCGTAATATCACCATGCAGGACTTCCGTGATTCCCTAAAGAGAATCCGCAGATCCGTCTCGCCGGCTAGCCTAGCTGCCTACGAGAAATGGAGCTTCGAGTACGGGGACGTCAGTCTTTGATTTCAAATAAATCGCTCGGGTGAGAAGCCGCGGGTCAGGTGCGCTTCGCTCAAGTGTGATCCACCGACGCTTGTTAACGCGACGGTTTAACCGTCGCATTTTTATTCTTGTGAACAATACTTGCACTTAAAATGAGAAAACGGCGAAGAGGAGGACAAAAGGAGCAGCCATGTTCTTTGATTTCTCTAATGGTGAGAATTCGATGTACACACTAGCATATTCGCGCATTCTTGAAGCACCGAAGCTTGAAGCTCTCGTCTGAATTTCTCATTTCGAGCTTCGCATCGATCTCTGTCTCGGTGAACACAGAAGCGAAACTTGGAACCCGACGGATAATATTTCATGTCGAGATATATTTTGAGAGATTACACTCAATTCATTGATTTTAGCAGATATATAGATATATAATATTCCATCCAGTGATCGAATATATATTCGCAGTTCGACAACACGTAGCTTTAACCGTTATAAAATATTTATGCCTCATATCGTATTGCTTAAATCTATTTACTATTCTTTTGCAATTCAGTTCCTTCGTATACTGCGATTCCCGGTAGCGCGCACGAGACTCGCGTTATGTTATAAGTTGCACTTAGTGTCGGACTATGTTATATGTGTTAACGGTTGATGTTAAGTATTTGAAGTTACTACGATCACATACCGCTGCTGAGATTCGAATGACTAATTAATTAATCGAGCGAACGCATCAATCCGCTATGGCGGAATGCACATACAATTCGTACAATTCGACCGTTGTTATTTATCAAGTTGACACGAGCGAGTTAATCACACACGCACACACACACACCACACACACACCGTGAGACACCGATCACTATGATGACACGTTATCGCAACAGTAGAAAGACTGCATTCGCAAATGAAACAGCGCACGTCCAAACAGATAATAAAACAAATAATATCTATTGAGATGACGTATGTGTGTAACGAAATGACACTGTAGTTATTTATTCGGCATACTTAGAGAGAAAGGATGAACGTCGCAGGATGTGTTAGAACTTGAGTTAGGGGATGCAAAATCGCACAAGAACAGTCGATATTGTCTCACGCGCGCATCGATATTGTATATGTACTTCCCCCGAGGTGTTGCGAAGTGTTAAATCTTGTTACGTTTGATACCGATTCAGAGATTCGTTTGTTGACACACTGATGCGTCTGGGAATCATAACGCGGCAAACATGATGCGCGCGAAAAAGAGGAAAAAGAGGAAGACCAGAGATCTGAAATTCTGTTTTGATACAAAATTCTATAAGACAACGAATTGAGAGAGTATCTGTACGATCTCTATCTATGAAATCCTAAGTATCTATCTGTAAGCGTTATTTGTAAGCTTGGAGAGAGAGGGGGGGGGGGAGAGGAGAGACATGTTTTTATGATATTTATCTATTGCTTCCGATGCTCAAAAGAAATAGGATAATTATGCTTGTACAATATACTTATCGAATTAATGTTTTAACATGGGACTATAAGTCGTTTAAATCGATATTCTACAATTATAACGTGACAAATCTGTTCGTTCCAAAGTATCCGTGCAGATAGGATAACATCGTTGCGGTCTCGTAGTGTATAAGGTCTATTGCGAGAATCATGTTGAAGATGATTATTTTTCGGGCGTTTCACGTCCTCGCTGAATTTTACGCATTTGAACGCTTCATGCAACGGAAGTGGAGAAAACGCTGTTTACAAGCGCGAAACTGTAGTTATTGGATAATAAGTTTCTGTACATGAATATATATATATATATTCTATATATATATATATATATATATATATAT